CTGGACAAACGGAGGATTAAGACGATGTTATTTGTCCGTCTAATATATCCGTTAATAAGCTAAACGATGTCGTTTAATCAAATGAAAACCCCCAAATTCGATTAAGCACGAACCCTAGAATACCAAATCGAAATTAGAAATACAAAATCGAAGATTTTCTCTCGTTTTCTTCTCTAATCAAGACTTCAAGATAGCTGTGTTGAGTTTTCGATGTAAAGATCCTTACACCTAATCCACACACACACTTTGAAGGCACTCCACGGGCAGCGAGTACTATCGATGTCTCGGAGCTAGAACTCATCGAAATCGAGACAACAAATCTTGGGGAATAAAGATGAGATCGAGATTTGAGAAGAAATCGAGATTAGAGAAGAAAACGAGAGAGAATCTTCGATTTTGTATTTCTAATTTCAAGGATTAAACCTCTACAAATGGCAAAGTAACGATTTAAATGACATTTTTCTCATTTATTTACTAACACATTATATTAAAATTTTAACTATCTAAAATGTTTTTTGAAAATTTAAATTTTGTAATTTCTTACTCGCATTATGAAAACTTAGTGGAATCTAAAAAGTCTGATTTCTGCGAAATATACATGGTCATATATTTATATAACTGTTCATAAAACTCGGTGAACAAACGAACAACAACAAAATCGACCAAAAAAAATGAAAAAGTGGTCCCACGTGCATGATTTTACACGAGGTTTCTTGTGGCATAAGGACAAAAACAGTTCATAACGTTTGGTCCTAAGTCCTAGCCAGGTGTAATGGATTTAAGTAACAGTCAATTTTCTTATTATAGCTGTATCCATTATGTCCACATATGCATCCAAATACATTAACACTGTTGGACTCAAGTGTAGATAGTTTACGAAGACTTTCTAGTTCCATTGTTTGGTTAGGAGATAAACATAATTTAATGAGACCAACTTTAGCACTTTAGGCTCAAAACAACGATAGTTTTATTTCAAACTCGTTGCATTGTTGTATCATTTTTTATTTATGATAGTCTTTGTATATTCTTTACATAACGGTCCAACTTTGTTGAAATAGTTTACTAAACTTTTCTTATGGGGTCAAATTTTATTTTAAAGGAAAAGGAGAGATTGCAACTTGTTCCAAAGACATAAACTCGGATCTTTTCTTCGCCGTGTTAGGAGGTTTGGGTCAATTCGGAATTCTAACAAGAGCCAGAATTAAACTCGAAGTAGCTCCAAAAAGGGTATGTTAAATTTGTAAATTATGCAATAATATTATTTATGTAACTACAGAAAATTCTATGAAATTTATGATTGAACATATATGCATTTTTGTATTTTTTGCAGGCCAAGTGGTTAAGGTTTCTATACATAGATTTCTCCGAATTCACAAGAGATCAAGAACGATTGATATCGAAAACGGACGGTGTAGATTTCTTGGAAGGTTCCGTAATGGTGGACCATGGTCCACCGGATAACTGGAGATCCACGTATTATCCACCGTCCGATCACTTGAGGATTGCCTCAATGGTCAAACGACATCGTGTCATCTACTGCCTTGAAGTCGTCAAGTATTACGACGAAACTTCTCAATACACAGTCAACGAGGTCCGTACATACATACAATCATGAATCATACATATATAATTGAGAGATCTTTATGCATTATTAACTATTAATTATTAAGACTAATTTAATTTAGGTATTTAAATTATGCAGGAAATGGAGGAGTTAAGCGAGAGTTTGAACTATGTCAGAGGGTTTATGTACGAGAAAGATGTGACGTATCTGGATTTCTTAAACCGGGTTC